CGCCACGAAATCTGCACTTCATCTCCGACACCCGCGCCTGCCACGAAATCAATATTTTAAGGTGAACTCCCCGGGGCATAAACTTCTAACCAATCATATATGCCTCCTGTGCTGGTTCTCTTTCTCTTTACTGTTTCTCTGCTAACGTAGGACTTTCTCTGACACCTACACTATTCCAATGTATTTTGCCAGCTACGACAGCTCCCAAATTAGTCTAATCAGCTAGCAATTAATATGAACCTGCACTATTCCAATGTATTTGGCCAGCTACGACACCTGCGTCTCGGCTAAGGACACGAAATTAAATTGCTGTAATTAGCTAGGTACTAATAAGAAACCTGCTCTATTCCAATGCTTTTGAAAAAAATCCGAAAAAAACACCAATTAAACGTGCACCCAGAAGTTAGTAACAAGGGCAGCCAAGGGCATCGCTACTAGTAACAAGGTTTTCGCTTCCGGGAGGCTCCATTTTTGGAGCATCTCCAGTCAAGGTCGTGGCCGTGGTCTGGCTCCGGAACGGTCCGATTCCCGGGGCTCCGCCTTCCCAGGTACACCGAGCCCTTGGGAGATCAAAGCGCCAAGTGCTGAGCAAGTCCTATCACAGGTCACACCTGAGATTCTGGGCATGGGAAATGGGCCAGTGGTCCGAGACAGGAACGGCATGGACACGGTGTTCTTGAATGGCTTGGGTGTGGATGTTCAACATGTTCAAACAAGTTCTTGGGTTGGAGGCCATCGCTCTTAGGGGGAGGCCATCGCTAGTAGGTTGTGTTTTTGGTTCCTGGGGACCCTGCAAGAGAGCGCCGAATGAAGTCAACGAAGCGGCGAGTTGGATCATGTTGAATCAACGCATGGTGAAGTTCAATCGGCGGGTGATACAGCAGCAAAGCAAAACGAATACAACATAGACTCCATGCAATACTAGGTTTGTTATGAGATAGTCAGGCCCTTCCAGCAACTTTTCTGTGGGAGACTTGCAGTGGCGTTGTGAATGAAAGGGGTTGGACATGTGAAAGTTGCATGACACGATCTTGAACAAATGCCTACTTGCAGGTTTGTGGAAGCATCAGATTAAACCAGCCCTTTTCAAGGTGATAGCAACCATCGTTGGAACACGACTCCTGTGTGGCAAGAGGTTTGGATTCTGGAGGCCCAGATTTGAATTTGAGCCGCCTTGTGCCCTAGGAGTCTAGAGGATCCTGAAAGGGGCCGCAAAGCGGGCCCAAAAATACTTTATCCAAAAGTGTGTAAGTTTTTTGTGCGCTTCAGACTGGGGACCGATGAAACCGGACACCGGATTTCACAGCCATTCGGACACCACAGGTTCACCGGATGACACCGGTTTTACTCTTCATACTTCGGTACGGTTGGTTTTGGGTGAATGGCACATGCTGGGACCAAGGAATCCCTCTGCTCCGTGCAGCAGCCGTGCTTCCACAGGTGCAAAAACTCAGTGGTCAGGTGGGTTGGATCTCGTCTTGAACACGCAGGAACCTACAACGGACATGTTGATATTTCATATTTCTGTTTGTTCTCCCAAATCTGTAGGAGTTTTGCTTGTTTTTTTGATATAACTATACTTATTTATACCATTGACCCAACTGGTTCCTTCCTTTGTTGACCCTTTCGTTTGACATGCTTCGGACCTCCTTGGACCCAAAGCAATGTTGTAAAGGTGGACAAGCCATAGCTGGAGCGGCTGACACATATGCAGCTCTTGATTCACACCCTCAGCTTCTCTGGAGGTACTCCACGCGCCTTCGTGGCACAAGGGCAGCGGTGTCGCTCTGCCTCTGCTCAGGCCAGGTTGGGAGATTCAGGAAAGAAGGGACCTGCAAGCATTCCGGTAAATGCTCGTGGAACCACACGTTTTGACATTTGACAACAAGTGTGAGACTTTGCTTGTGGTGGGTTCCAACAGTTATTTCTGACTGTTTTTTGAAGCTATTGACCAGCAACACGGTACTCTTGCATATTCTTGCTCGGTCTTTTCACCTGTGTTGCACGAATGCTGTTGAGAAACGAGACTGAGACGACGTTGTTTGCGCTCGGTTCCGCTTTTCGCTTCATGGCGAACGAGAGAGGCCTGTTTTATAGAATCTATTGGAGTGGGTCCACAGAAGTGCACCTTTTTAAAATGATTCATTGGGCATTCTTGGACATGTAGCCGTAGCCCCTCTAAAAAAACTGTCCCATATCCATTCAATGATCACCTTGAGACGCATTGAGACAATAAGGTGGTGTTCGAGGAACTTCATATATAAATGCTCCCCTGGTTGAAGAAACATGGAAACGGGACTTTATCGGAAGTTCTGACTGGATTGTTTGTGAATGTGGGGATCGACGCGCAAGATCCCAGTCGTCCCAGCATTCCGTAGGCTGGAGTGGGGAAAAGTTCGATCTCACCTTGATACCTTGCAGGATACAAGCCCTGTCACCTTGCCAGCGATCCACACTCCCGTCCCTGAGGACGGCAGATGGATCAAGGTGATGTGGTGCACCGTTTGATTTGGTCGTCCAGTCATGAATCATGCACAAAGACAAAGTTCTTTTCGGTCAACCGTGGACTTGCTGTGGGACAACTTGGCACCACAGATTTGTGGGTCCATTGCTTCTGATTTGTGGTCCACAATGGTTTGGGTCAATCATTAGAGGCGTATTCATACATGGATAGTCTGGGATGTGGGATGAGCCTTATAAAGGATTTTTTCGTTGTGTCCCGTGCTAAGACACAAAGCTATTATTTAGGATGAGAAGTCGGCGCTTCTCCCCCTGGGTGAAACTTGAGCGTCCACGGCGTAAACCGGTGATGTGATCATTTGTGACTGGTCTCTGGTCACGATCCCCAAATAGAAAAAGCTGAATTCCCGTTTTTAGATACAGTACTTGTTTTTGCATGCATTGGCTGTGGAAATTGCCATGCACCTCATTTGTGACTGAGTCACCTTTTGGATTGCCCCTTTGCCCTTCATTCATTCTCTTCATGGCTTGGTTGTTCTGATCCAGGAGCCCCGCTCAGAGGCCATTAATGGGTCAAAGACAGCGGAGAATTCCACGGGAGAAAGGCAACGCAAAAGTCTACTCAGTCTACACCCACTTGATTGGGATACAGTATGGTTTCTATGGGTGTTTATGCTGGTTGAGTAACGTCGAGCGTGGGTGAAGCACTGTAGCGCATGTGTGTATGTACTAATTACTGGTAGGACTAGGTTGATTGGCTTCCGGCTGAAGATCACTGCTTGGTGGAGTCGAGTAGACCATCCAACAATTATTTTTGAACCTACCTAACCTACTGTCCTGAATTTCAGGAGCATGAGATGCTTCTGGATGCATTAGTTTTTGGAGGCATCCAAGATATGCAACAATCCAACGATACTAGGACTTGTAGCATGTTGGAAGTGGAATTTGTTTCAACACATCTGGGTACTTCAGAAATGTCTATCAACAAATTCATGCTACAGCACATGAGAACTCTTGGTTGCAAAGCAGGGGTCCACTTGGGTAGTCGATCCATATTTATTTATCGATCCATGTACTCTTCAAGTGTTTGATTGGGCTAGATCTGCGGCCTGAGGTGACCCCTATGTGCAGTGCCGAGCAGAAGCCAAGGTGGGACGATTTACAAGCCGTAGATGTGCAAGAATCATTACGTTTTGTCCATCAACGGTGGCACTGCAGTGCTTTGAATATCTTAGAAGTCGTGCTTAGAATCCACCAGGTGTTCGCTTAGAATGCTCCGTCTTCACATTGCGGCCTTTAAGAATAACATTCTAGCATTTGGTGGACACTGAGCTATGAAATCCATTCTGATCAATGACTCAGAATTGGTTGAGCAGGGCTGCAAACCTGCTGCAGAATACTCAAATTATCCTTACGTACTTTGACCACAGCAACCGATATAATATATATATATTCCTAGCACACTGCTGAAGTGTTGCTTGTGCATTGGGCGGTCGCTTGCTTTCCCTTGTGCCTGGCCTGGTGCCAAGAATTCGTAGGTTGCCCCAGTGGCACGCAGTGAGCAAAGATTTGACCCAGCCCCAACCAGCACCGACCGATGGCACTCATGGCTTCGCACTCATGGCCCCACCGGTCGGGAGAGCGTGTGATCAGACCGGACAGTTACGCGGGACCTGGGAGCCCAGACCACAAAGGTACAGATTTTTCTCGTTGCAGTGGTTTCAGAGTAGATGGCACGGTAATCCAATATATACTGTATATATATATATATATCTTTTTTGGGGATTGTGCCCTTTACTCTGAAACCACTGCACTAACCCCACAGGGGTCTTTCTTCAATGATTTGCTCATTCCCGCACCACCGCTCCACTGCTTCCAGGTCCCATGCGGAAGCATCCAAGCCACAGAGTGCACGTTCAGGCCCAGCATCCTTCTTTAAGAGGACAATCGAGATGTGTTCACAGAACCTACTCATGGAGTCTTCGATCTTTGCTCAGAACCTGTGGGCGTTGACTGATACTAGTTTGGTGATGCAGGGCCTGGCAATGTGTTTTCGGGGCCCGGCTCAGGTCAAATCCATGAGAAGATCGTCCCTAGAAACCCCAGAAGCTCACTGAATTTGCCCAAAGTCACTACTTTGTGAACTTTCATGTTCAAGTGCTGTGCTGTGATCATTCCAACAAATGCAAAACACATCTAAGTGAGAATTGCACAGCACGAGGATTCTTGGCTTTTTGTGAACGCCGGAGATCTCCGGAATTCGCCGCACGAGGGCGCCAAGCTTCTCATCCTCTGCCACATCCAGATCGTGCAGATCGCCGGGATTCACAGGCCCACCGGAATGTTCGGTGTATCCACGACGTAGCGAAGCAGAAGATGAGCTCAAGAAAATGCTCAAAGGACATAAAGCGACTGTGATGAGAGTTCGGGCTGGAGGATATGTTTCTGAAAACACAGGAGAATTTGATTGTTTGCTTGCGCTGTTTCATATCTTATTCAATAGCAACAAGAGACAGATGCTTCTTGAACGTATCACGGCTCAGGATAACTCAGTCCATTCAATTCAGTCTGAATTCACATGACATTGCTAAGTTGACTATTTATTTACTTTCCCGGCAGATTGAATCGTATTTTTGCTGGAGCATGTTTAAGGCTCGCCGGAACTTTGTCACGAATGGCCTCCAACCTAATAGCGATGGCCTCCAACTTTAATAGCGATGGCCTCCAACCTGATAAGGCATGGCCTCCAACCTACAAGCGATGGCCTCCAACCTACTAGCAAATCAGAAACTGCATTTATAGATATATATTTACCATACCGATGAGTCTCAATCTTCGAGTACTGCAGCGCGAGCCGGTTTGTCGGAGGCGCTTCCTCTATGTAGTGCCGAATTGCAAAGGCTGGGGCGAACTGATTCTCCAAGTTGTGCTGTCGAACAGGATGTGTCCTGAAAGAACTTGAACAAATTGCTTTCAGAGGAGTTCCGTCCAGATGGTATTGTCTATCTTGATGTTTTGAGTTTCAATGCCGGGGCCTGCCGCCAAAGGTGCCGGGTGGAAGGACCCAAGCCTCAGAGTGCACGAGGTGCGAAACGGTGCAGAGCCGGAATGCGAAACGGCCGAGCCGGATGCGGCCATGTGTGGATGCAGTGGTTACGCATGGTGATGCATGTGGAGGGTTACAATGGGGTACCAATCCCATGGACAAGGACCAGGAGTTGGAGCTCAAGCTCGCAGTGGGTATGTACCATGACCAAGCAACTAGACAAAGGAAAGTAAGTAATTATGCTCATCTTGCGTTCGGATCTATTGAGGGCATTGCTATGTGTAGCTGCAGATTTGCGATTGAACTTTGAGCTGCAAAGGTAACAATGTTGACCGGCACACTGACTTAAAGGCAACGGGAGTGCTCAGCCTAGTCCTAATCTTTTCAACATGCTCAAACACCAGAAGCTGGTCAAACAAACAACAATTCTTCTATATTCTTCCAGAGCAGGTGCTTGCCGGTTCCAGCCAGCCAGCAGGCACTGGGCGCAAAGCTTCGCCCAGGCCCATGCCCACTCCAGATCGGAGAGAGTCTCAGGCAACAGCTTTGGGATGGGCTGGTTTCGAGGTGTCAGCTTTGGCACCTTGGCATTGCTATGTATCTAGTCCTCCCATTCCCTTGAAGAGATATGGTTGTTACAAGACATTTCAAATTTCAAGAGGGGATTTACATTGATTTACTTTTCGATCTGCTTGTTGAACAGGAGCGGCACATCATGTGCCGCTTCTTTTCAGAATCGGAGCTGCTTAGAGTGCAAGAAACGTACTGTAAATACTTGTTCTTTGCACCGAAAGCTCAAAACCAGACGACATTCCAGATCCGACGACTCACTCATCTAACCTTGCCCTGCCATGGCCGTTGCGCCAAAGAACTGATTGGTCTTCAAGGTGTCAAGTCGAAGATAGTCGAAGCGAGAAAACACGAGAAACCCATCCAAAGCACCTCATCAGAGTTTGGATGCAGGTGTTTAGCTTGCAGACGACGCTACTATCCTACTTGAAGCTAGATAGATCAGGTCTGACCTCGAGACGCAAGGACCAGTCATCATAGGTTTGTTCATGTTTGTCCCAAAAGGCAGACTGGTCCTGTAGAGGCAGGCTGCCAAACTGGAACCAGCCAGTCGGCCAGTTGGCTACTCCAGGCCTCTTCTATGGCGCTGGCTGCCAGCTTTCAACAGCAGCTCCTGACGAAGATGAAGGGAGGCGAGGTTGGCCCTCTCGCCGCACGAGTGGAGGAATTATACATTGCTTCAAATCGGTTTGTTGTTTCGTGGTAGTTTGGTGTTGTATTCTTCCAAATCTGGAGCTGCTTAAACCATCCCAAACAGGGAGACTTATGAATTTATGGATACTCGACAGTGGTACGATCATCCGCCGAGCTATGAAGATTGTGAGGGTGGATCCCTAAGCAAAGTCCATTTTCTTGTATTCCCACCAAATGGAAATGACTCTGGCCACAGGGGGAACCTCCATTGATTCAATCCTCACAGCTGTCTTCACCGCGGTCCAGCCCGAATCAATACAATCCTAACTCTGCCTGGACTCTGCCAACGACAAGTGGCAAGGGCGGGACAAACATTTTGGAGTGCGGGCCGCAGTGGCATGAACGACAATCGAATCCAACAGTGGTTCAAAGGTGCTTCAGAAAACTCCAGGCCCCAGGCTACAGAAGTGTATTCAGTCCCGAGTGGACACTTCTTTAGAATACGATTGAAGGACATGTGCAAGACGGACATGCCATGTGGCGCAACACTCAAATACGGAGCTTGAACATTGAACGGCTTGAGAAGGAACACATACACACGTGCATGCAGATCCGACTTTGGATTCTCAGGGCATCAAAGCACTGCCCAATTTGTGAACCAATGGTTCTTCCATGACAAACATCACCCATTTACTCCAAGGTTGAAGATCCTTCAAATCAAGCCGCGGTGTCGATTCATATTCACCTAATGGCGCCACACAAAGAAAGCAGGTGTCAAAGCTGTTGACTGTTCTGTGTCGATCCAATTCTCGCCTTCACACGACCCGTTTCAATCATTTTGCAACGACCCGTTGCAGGTCGCAAAACACCGGCAAAACAGGCAAGTGGCCTCAGTTCTGAAAGCTCAGAGAAGCAGCAAATCAAGAGAACATACTATATTATCTTCTTGTTCCTAGTCCTAGTAGCGATGGTCTCCAACCTACTTGCGGTGGCCTCTACCTAGTAGCTTCTAGCTACTAGTATTGGCAGATGCTGAAAGCAATCTGAGAAAGCCCTCAGTCTCGCAGGGATCTCACACAGTTCAGGATCTGGATTTGGAAGGTGTAGGAGAGAGTCACCAGACTTTGTGCTGCCTGCTTGCCAACCTTTGTGATGCACTGGAGGAAGTGTCTTCCCGGTCAATTGCAGCACGCTCCAAAATCCTCGGGATTTTGTTTTTTGCCTCATCGCCAAGAGCAGTGGGTTTCTCCTCTTGGGGGGAACACGGTAGTAGTGACTTTAAGATGCGCACGTTGTACTCTGAAGCTATGGGGTTTGCAGATGTTTGCAGGAATGAAGCTCAAGTGATCTCAAGTGTACATCTTGCAGCCATCACTTGCTATTTTCAGATTTATGACCATCCCCAAGTATCCTAAACAATGTTTCATTGGGGTTTAAGTATTAAACAACCCTTTCACACTTGTCCGAAGATTCCGCACCGCAAGAAGAAACCCGACGCGTGTACGTCACATGCGTACACCATCTTAGACCGTGCTAAGGACGACAAAAGTGCAGGACTCAGCATTGTCAGCTCAACACGGGAAGGTCAGGGCTTCGCAGTAAGCGGTGCCACTAACGACTGCTTCCAGCTGAATTCTATGAATATGAGAGACGAGCCCGTTCTGAAGGTTGAGCTTTGACAGTTTTGAAAGCCTCACTCCACATGAGTATCATGAGTCAGCAATTACGAAGATGTACGAAGCCTTCACAGAAAGCCTTCCACGCATTTTGACCACTCGCTATTTTTTGACCAGAAAGCCACATTGACTGGACCTGAGTGACCTCTGAGGCCTCCAGGCCTGGTGGAATGTCTTGGTCGGGGGATCCAGGCATTGCTTTCATTGAAAAAGGACATGTTTCTTTGTTACTTTTTTCGGGTCAGAAAGAGGTTGGGGGGTTGGATAGATTTGTTGGACGTTGCTTCAAGACTAAGAGCCCAGTTCACTTGATCGTGCCACTATGGATTCTCCCTATCTGGTTGCCTCTTGAAACATCGGCTTGTTTTACCGTAGGGGCCAACGAGGAGGAACCTTTGTTTGGCGAACGAGACTGTTTGGATCTGAGGCTGGAGAGCCCAAAGTCCAACGTGTGCTCTCCCAGGCGCTGATTGCGCTCTCTCTCGCCCAAAAGGGACCATTTGGTCTTTAGAAACAGAAAGGCTGAAGATGCACCTGCAAAAGAAGCGGTCTTTGATCAGCAAAAGCAGTCTCCTAAGGTCCTAAGGACCATGAAACTCCAGTTCTCAGCCAGTTCGGATGGTTCCCTTTTTTGGCACTCCCCCCCAAACGGAACGGAACTCCTCGTGGTTTGATAAGCCCCACCAGGGCTTGGCTGCGCAGCTGACCTCGGCACCTCGAATTCATCCAGAATGGGGTCCGGAACAGGGAAAGATGTGAAAGGTGTGAAAGGGCTCATGAGTGTGACATCAGGATGACAGATGTCCTCTTCCTGACTCTTCCTTTGTTTGATATGTGCTTGCCGTGTCGACCAACAGTTTTATAACTACAATGATTATACCATATTGTACCACACCTTCATATCGACGGCAGAGTTGGATATCTTTATATCCCTCATCCCTTGCATGACTCCTCCCATCAAACCTCGTTGGCGCAACAACCCAGTTTCGGTACGAACTGTGAACATTCATTGGTTCGTTGGGGGTCCCGTTGTTTGTTAGACTGATGTGCTAGAAATATGCATAATATCATACAAGGGATCCATGCGTGGGCTCCAAATGAACAATGCGCTCGGGATGGTGATTCAATTGGATACCCCGGTCAGTTGAGAATCCATACTGTAGAGATTTGGGCTGGATAGTGTAGATGTTCTTGTTCTCCAAGGCTCTTTTGCCACATGGAGCACTGACTCCCAGCAAACTCCAAGTCATCCAGCCTCTCCCTCCTTTGCGCCAGCACACCCAGGAATGTAGCGACGACCTCAGCGGGGGCAGGGAGCACGGACCCATGTGGTGAGGGAGAGATGGGTTTTGTATGGTCCAGACCGACGGGGAAATAAGTGGACACAAATGGTCAAGATCTCAGGGTTTGCTGCAGCAACTTGGTTGACGCATTGCTGTTTTGCCACACGGCATCTATAATCTATATTGACCATTGGGAGCACCTTCGGGTGAAAGCGGCTGAAGTTTCATGGCATTGTCCAGTGGCCCGATTAGGTTATTTGGCCACCAGTGGCAAAATGCACATCCCGCAGCGTGCCTTGGGCGGAGCGGGGACATGGACTGAGGTGGTGACCCGTTCGTTTGGGTCTCATCTACCATCCGAGGGTGTGGGGTTACCAGTTTTTGGAGCATTTTGAAGCCACACTCATATTCATCCAATCTAAAGCACCTGCTTCTGTGTATCTGGTTCATGCAAATCCAACGATCGATACTTCGTCAGTCAACGGTGTTGTCAAGTACTTCGTGGTTGCAGGGTGTTGCTACATTGCAACCGAGTTTCATGAAGGTGGGAACGGGTACACAGTTCGATAGCCCAGTGCACATACACAGTTCGGCAGGTCGTTGCCTCTGGGACAGTTGGGGAACGGTGGTTTTTGTTCAAACGAGCAGACTTTGTTTTGGGATGTGGAGTTTCCAGGTGCCATCGAAGGAAATGATGACAATCCTGGACCATGCGCCAAACAACTGTGAGGACCCAACTGCGAGTGCTTCAAAGGAACGGAAAGCGAACTGGGTCCCTTCACAGATGGGCAGAAGAAGTGGTTCACAAGAGTCGGAGCGTTCGGCTGGTAGCGCCAGGCCGCTTTTATTCCAAAGGCTGAGAGGCACAGCTGTGTAGGTCCACGTAGGTTTCACCAGGAAGCAGTGTCGCCGACAAGGCATGCTTCATGTACGCGTGTGCATCTCCAGTTGGAGTATGCCAACGTGAGCCTGGCGAAATGGCTAGGCAAGACAGCTTGGGCTTTGGATCATACGTGCACACCTGGTAGCTGAAATATGCTTCTTAGGTTTATTGGGTCTGTCCAAGTAGGTTGGAGGCCATCGCTAGCAGGGGGGGAGGCCATCGCTAGTAGGGTGGAGGCCATCGCTATTAGGTTGGAGGCCATCGCTATGCTGGAAGCTTGGGGGCAACGGAGACATAAAATTACAACCGCAGTCTCGCCGCCTTTTGTACAGTGAGAGAGTTTATTCGCGTGACCTTTAAAGATTTGATCCAAAGCGCCTTGCGTCATGTGTCCATAGGAAGGCTCCCAAACATTCAAGAAGAAAGAGCCAGGCATGCAATGCAAGGAATGGCCTGTCAAAGTAGTTGGTCCAGTTTATTGGCTAGTACTGGTATATACAACTACCGCTGGATTAGCATGTGAGACCTCGTGTGGCATTGAACTTCCCCGTTGTTCCCTTTTTAGCTAGCTTTTCTTTGGCACTGCCTTATCCTGATAATTGACCTGAGAGGAGAACACCATTCTTTCACTCATTGTGATGGATGGAGTATCCTCCCATTCTTGAGAAATGTCCCGAACGTGCTCCATTTCAGTAACATCAGCCAGAACAAGACCAGTGTCACCCAAATCAATGGCAAAACAAATCTAAACCTACCAAACCAAAGCAGAATCCCCAACCGGAGCCCACCATACAATGAAGCCGTTTTTGCGGCCAGGCTCTTCGTGCTGGATCGCTTGGTGCTCACTGCGGAGGGTGGCTTCCAACGGCCCGAGTCGGGCGAAGCGCTCTTCCCAAAGGGACGCTTGGCTACACTCAGCGCTCAGCTTGCTGAGCCCGATGTTGGAGCTGGATGGAATGGGTCATGAGGCAACATGAGTGGTGCGTTTGCACATCAACTAGACTGGACTCTTCGTTTTGTGGTGGCGTCTTCCTCTCATCGTATGGATTTGTGCAAGTGGAAGAGTTTGGGTCGAAACGTTTTCAGAAAGAGGATTCCAATGGGAGAGTGGACAAAAAGCACAAGATCTGCTTCGTTTTCAAGTGCTTTTTTGGATTGGCTCTTCTGCAAGATCTGCAGGTTGAAGGAACTGACAGGAACCGATGTTCCTCTTTCTTGCTTCACAATTAGTGATTCAGAGAGACATGGCACACGCGAGGGGAAGGCCTCTATCCGCCATTTGATTTCTTCTGTGATATCAAAGCAACACTTGGAAGCCCAGAGGAAGTAACACATCCCTAAGATTTCCTACATCTACAATCTACATGTACTTAGGACATCCTCGGAGACCCTAAGCCCGGACCAATGAACCTTTCTGGTGACTTTGTTACTATTAGTAAGGCACTTGTTACTACTAGCGTGGCACTTGTTTCTAATAGCTTTTTTGTTACTACTAGTAAGGCACTTGTTACTACTAGCGTGGCACTTGTTACTACTGTAGGTCTCAACACTAAGTTGGTGAAACACTTGCAAAGGTCATAGTATCATATACATCCATATCCATCGAGTTGCCACTCCTTTCACTCGTTTGGCCGGACACCAGGTGGTATAGATCTGAAGTGGCGCTGGGATCCTGTGCAGTTCCGCATGATCATCGATTTCTGGAAAGGTGTGGACCCCGGACGTTCGTTGCTGAAATACCGACACCAGTCGACCGAATCCCATGCTCCAAACTAAGCCAGTGGGCCGAATCCCATGCTCCAAGATGGTGAACTTCTGGATTGGCGATGGGATGAGCTTACTCCCAGCAAGGCTGGGTCGCTTGGAAGGGTTCTGAAAGCAAGAAAATGCTGCGATGGATGAACGTAACCCTAAGCAAGCACTTGAAGCCAAGAAAAGTTGGGAACCACTTTGTGTTTAATGTTGGGAGAAAGCGATTGAGATTATAAGCGAGACAACTTGCAGGACATTTTTGGTTTGATCGTACCGGCATTTCCCGCCGGAGACCCGTAGGATCCAGCATGTACTTGCTCAAATTCCCACTCAAGACCCTTGTCTACAGTTCATGCTGCAACCTGTTTTTGTTGCATTTTTTATCAACTGTTTGCTTTGCGGGCCATAATGAAGTGCACCCATGAATTTTACCATGGAACACGGGTCTCGTCAAGCAGGCTGCTCACATGTTATCACACCTTTGAAACGGTGACCTCCTGGGGAAACCGGTGACATGCACTAGATTGCACCAGTTTTTTGAAGATATGTGGTTTTGAAGACCAACATAGAACACGATTGATCGTTTTGGCCAGCTTCGCAGCAGATGCCTGATGGCCAACATATAGCTATACGTGTGATCTTGCAATGTTCCATCTTAGACTCAAAGCGTCCAACATTGCCCAGGATTTACCAGGCTTGTTTCCACAGGGTCACTAACATAGCTCCAAGATGCTCCAAGTCTTAAGGACACAAACTAGTGGATGCAGCCACAATACAGCACATGAGTGTTTCCCTTTGGTGCTAGATTTCACCCGTGTAGAAGAAAACACGACTGCCAATCGGCAAGAAAAACAGCTTGTCAATCTCCTTTTCCAAGTCATTTCGGTCGGTCCTTCAGTATCTTCACTGATTCACCAGTTTGCTCGGTTCAATTGATATCCTTCGAAGAGATCACGCTGTCAGGAGTTGCGCTTTCCCAGTCTGGTGCCTGACTGGACCGGCACCGGTCACGTGGGAAGTTGCGGCCTCAGACCTTGGCCTCAGACATTGGGTTATCACAAACTGCAACCATCCAGGAAAAATCCAAATCCATACAAATCCGATAGATAGGAGTGCTTTGACACCATTTGCATTCATTTGTGAATCTGGATTAGGGGTGCAGGAAAGGGCAAGCCTCGGCAGAATTCGAACAGAAGCACTTCCTGTAGGCTTCCAAATTTCCCACGAATACTTAGGCGTTGGAAGCTTGGGGAAAAGGAGGCTATCCAACCTACTAGTGATGGCCTCCAACCTAATAGAGATTGCCTCAAGGGAGATGGCCTCCAACATAAAATTACAACATGTCTTTCTTGCTCTCTCTCTCTCTCTCTCCCACTCTTTTTCCCGAATGCGTAGCGAAGGGTTCTCGTTTATCTCTTTTTGGGAGTGCCCCGCAAGAGCTTCCTACAAGAGTGACCCACAAGAGTGTCCTACAAGAGTGTCCTACAAGAGTGCCTCACAAGAGTGTCCCACAAGGGTGTCCCAGATAGAGTGACCCACAAGAGTGTCCCACAAGAGTGTCCCGTATGAGTGTCCCACAAGAGTGTCCCACAAGAGTGTCCCGCAACAGTGTCCCACAAGCGTGTCCTACAAGGGTGTGTCCTATAAGAGTGTCCTACAAGAGTGTCCCACAAGAGTTTCCTACAAGAGTGTCCCACAAGAGTGTCCCACAAGAGTGTTTCGCAAGAGTGTCCCATAAGAGTGACCCACAACAGTGTCCTATAAGAGTGTCCCACAAGAGTTTCCTACAGGAGTGACCCGCAAGAGTGTCCTACAAGAGTGTCCCAAAAGAGTGCCCCGCCAGAGTTTCCTACAAGAGTGGCCCAAAAGAGTGTCCCACAAGAGTGTCCTACAAGAGTGTCCCACAAGAGTGTCCTACAAGAGTGTCCCACAAGATGTCCTAGAAGAGTGTCCCACAAGAGTGTCCCACAAGAGTGTCCTACAAGAGTGCCTCACAAGAGTGTCCCACAAGGGTGTCCCAGATAGAGTGACCCACAAGAGTGTCCCACAAGAGTGAGGGTGTCCCAAAATATGCCCCGCAAGAGCTTCCTGCAAGAGTGACCCTCAAGAGTGTCCTACAAGAGTGTCCCACAAGAGCGTCCTACAAGAGTGTCCCACCAGAGTTTCCTACAAGAGTGTCTCACAAGAGTGTCCCGCAAGAGTGTCCTATAAGAGTGTCCCACAAGAGTGTCCCACAAGAGTGTCCTATAAGAGTGTCCCACAAGAGTGTCCTATAAGAGTGTCCCACAAGAGTGTCCCACAAGCGTGTCCCACAAGAGCGTCCTACAAGGGTGTCCCAAAATATGCCCCGCAAGAGCTTCCTGCAAGAGTGACCCTCAAGAGTGTCCTACAAGAGTGTCCCACAAGAATGTCGCACAAGAGTGTCCCAGAAGAGTGTCCCACAAGATTGTCCCGTAAGAGTGTCCCACAAGAGTTTCCTACAAGAGTATCAGAAGAGTGTCCTACAAGAGTGTCATTTGGACATATGTAGGTTTTAGAACGTGTTTGCATTCGGGTTCGTGGGCTCCACCTTGTTTTCTGTTTTTGCATGACCTCCTGTTCGGGATTTGACTGTCCATTGCACAGAGCCCCATACAAATGTAGGGAACACCTGCTTCAACAACAGGTCACTTGGATTCTAAAGAGAAGCCCTGGACTCGCCAAGGCCAATCCTTTAGCTACTCCATGTTGAGTCTGGATGCAGAGAGTTGGCAGCCAGATGCGGAGTCACCCAAGGAGGCATGAGAATCAATTGCGTGGTGTTGGACCTGCTTCAACCTTGAGCCTGCGTTTACATGATGCTGTTGAGCAACTGTTGCTCAGGAGGTCTGGATGAATTGGTCTTGGGTTCCTCAAAGAATCATCAGTTTAATGCAGGTTTCAATAAGCAACTCGTGAAGTTGGAGTTGGAGAAAGCTCATCGTTGATTTGGCTCACTTGCAGACACCGTCACTAGGTGGATCTCAAGGAGTCCTCACCAGACAGACTGGTCAGGGCCTCTGCACCGAAGGGGTCGCTTCTGGCGTTGTGATTTGTTTCTGCTTCTGCACCACATGCAAGTTCGCGTTTCGAACACCCAAGGTCGAAACGCGGGACGAGTGCTTCTGACCCAGTTGCGAGCACGTCTGCCACCTGTGCGGACTGACCGCCTGTACAGTTGCGGACCTTTGAGACCGCCACCAAGCAGCCAAAAGCACCAAAACCGACCCCTTCCACCCCTACCATTTGGAGGCCTTGAATGAATGGAAGCGCATCCATCACAGGGATTATTATGCCACAGCATGAACCGTGGCCATAAGCTTTCCTGGTGGGGGCGGGCAATTGAGCACAGCGCAGACAGGTTTGCACAGTT